GGTTGCGCCTGCAGGAGGCCGGGAGCGGGTGCGAGCGATTGCGGGATCGGGCGCGGGCGCGGCCGGCGGGAGGCCGGAGCGGACGCGGACGCGGGCGAATGCGCGGGATCGGGCGCGGGCGCAGGATTTGGCGCGGGATCGGACGCGGGCTGCGTCTGATGGAGGCGGGATCGGGCGCGTGCGCGACGAAAGGCTCGATAGCAAGCTCGATGAGCCACTCGATTTGACGACGAGTCGAGCTCGAGCTCGGATTTTGAGCTCGACTCGAGTTCGAGCTCAAGCTCGAGCTCGGGTTTTGATTGTCAGGCTCGACTCGAACACCCCCTGGCTCGAGCTCGACTCGACTCGTTTGCACCCCTATGTATATCTAATATTAAAAAAATTATTCATATATTACCTGAAAATTTTTGCTAATCAAATCAATTTTATTATTTAGATGTATTAACCCTCAAATGTGTCAATAGTTCGTTGAAATTGACACAAAATTATCTATTATATTCCAATAAAACAAATTTATATGATGTCTTCTCTCTTTCTCTCTTATCCTAATCATGGTCGGCGCTATCACTCTTCAGGATAAGTACCATTTCCAATCAACAAGACAGTCACCCAGTTCACTTCACACACATCGTAATTATGCTTTCATTTTAAAAGGATGAAAGAGATTCTAATAATTTAAAATGATTATTAAAAAAAACAATGAACAAAGTAAATTGTTCGGTTAAGATATTTATGGAGGACCTGAAACTGGCTCTAAGCCTCAAACAATCATGCCAATCTTTTTAATAGATGTGTCAATTTCGAGTTATGGGTCAGGTTCGGGTCGAATTCGAAACTAACACAACACTATTCGGATCAACCCGAATCCGACCCAATTTTTGAAACAGGTCGATTTATTAAACCCAAACACAACCCATTTCGTATCCGGATTCATCCTAACCCGAAATTTTGACGAGATACTCAGGGCGGCAATCCTTTTAATTTGACGAGGGAATTTCTCGAATTCAACAATTTTGTACAACTACAACATAATGGATAGTATGATGTACTTTTTAACTCTTCATAATTAGAGATTGAGGACTCCACCCTTTAGAAGCATCAAAACGAATCATGATCCTAATACAAACCAACATCACAAGTCTTCCAACTAACCAACTTCATTTATCAAGATCATCAACAACCATAAGAGTTGGCTCAGAGCTCAAGAACAAGATAGAATTAGCGATTCACTTCTTTTTTGAACCTTCTATACTATATGAGAAATTGAGAATCCAAGAAAGACAAATTAAAAACTCAATTTTAGTACCCTTTGTCTTGGAAGATATGTCAAACCACAAAAAAAGAAGACTTTACTGCTATAAACGCTAAGAACTCTCACTAATGGATGAGCAGTTCATTGCAAAACACTATCCTCAAAGATGATTACTTCTCTCAAACTTAATATATCTTGGCCATTCAACTCACGTCCTTTCGTAGGATCCTATCTATTCAATGAGAACTGTTCTCATATTCAATGATTCTCAAAGCACAATTTATGCATCATTGATAACCTAACGCAATTCATTATTTACAATTGGATAAGGACTCTTTACCCTTTGGAAGCATTACCATCATCCATGTTCGATCTCCAACCCACTACATATCTAGCACATAGGTTATTGTCATTGCTAACCAAAACTTGACATGTCCTCCCAAGTAATGACCAAGGTTGCTCAAAAAGTTATACGCACTTCAAAGAGTGAAACAATAAAAAAAAAAGGTAGAGCAAGAAGGAAAACAAAAAAGTGAGAAAGAACAAAGAGAAGGTAGCCCGAAGAACCCAAGTATAGGAGCAATTATTACGTCCGGTCAACCAAACGCGTTCAGAGGCCAATAACCACACGCAACGTCACCAAAAACTCGGTATTTGACACTCGGTATTGCTCGGTATACATTCGGATCGTTCGGTTTTTGACCGGACGTAATAACTTCTCCAAGTATAGAGAGCATACTCAAACTTCAGAAGAGACAATCATTCGTAGGGTAAAGAACCTTCTCGATAAGTGTGTGGAGAGACCCTAGAGTAGATCTCCTCCCCCTTGTAAACCTACTTGGGTTCAATGATTCTTCATTTTCTTTTATTTTCCAAACCACAGGCACTTCATATGTAAATGCTCATTGAATAGTGAAAAATATCTCCTAGCTAGAAAACACAGGTGATATTCAGCGAACCATTATAAATCTTGTGTTGTATAATATCCCATCTTCCTTCATTATCTTCTTTATTGGCGCATGCATCACTCGTGAGCAATCTTATAATAAGCTGAATCACATGTGACTTATTCCTCTCTCAAAACCTAATGATCACATTTATTCAATACCATGAGCTTAATATCACATATCGTAATAAGAAATAGCTCTTGGCTACATTTGTATCAAGAAATCTTGTTACAACTTTCTTCCTTATTAACACCAATCATTTTTCGATTATGTCCGGGAAAAAACATCATCTCAAATTCAACAATACAATTTGAAACTTCCATCATCTCTTTTGCAAAAGTAAAGTTACACTCCCAAAACAAAATAACATAAGAAATGAGATTGAGCATTACTATACTTACAATAAACAATTAACACTCCCAAATAAAATTGTATATAATCATCTTCTCATTTTAACTGATCCGTCTATGCAAAACCGAGTTTAATATATGTGTTTGAATTTATTTGATGGGGTGAGAAAGGCCGCATAAAATTCAATTGATTGAACACTGAATCCCATTCACACAAAGTTACAAGACATTTAAATCTTCCAGCAAGTATAAAAAAGAATGTATGAAGAAACTCTTTTAAGTAAAGAAAAGACTAGGTATGAGCAAGTATAATATTATATTAGCCAAAATCATAGAAGAACAAAAACTACAGAGCAACGGATAATTATTTACATATTACAAGGCTTCACCTTTTGAGCAATTTGTATTTTATTCCCAATTAAGAAGAAAGTGCTCCAGAACAAGAATTTAAGCCCCCTTCAGCCTTGGAACACCCTCTTCATAAATCCCTGTATCGAGCTACCCATGCTGGTCCCAATAGCCTCGGCTAAATAAGCAGCCTATAAACGAGTTCGTAGTCAGCTTCAAAGTCAGTTATTAAGGAGAAGAGGAAGACAAAACTTGGATTCGTAATACCTCCTGAACACTCTTCTGAAGTTCAAAAGCATCCTTTATTCGGTGCTCCAAGAAATTCCAAGTACTCTGATATTCTGTCAAGGAAATTTTATGGAGTTCATGAGTCTGATTACATGTGACAATAGTTTGAAATGTTCCGCTTTCTTTTTTTTACAGAAGAAAATTCAAACCAAATGATCAGCCATAGAAAAATGACTAGTTTCACCCAAGGATTTGAATGTTGACTCTCTCTCTCATATAAGCAAAATTGTTTTTGTTAGACATGAAATGAAAATTTAAAAAAATCAACGGATGTTTGAAGGGCAATAGAGTCCACAAAAGAAAAAAAAAAGTGGATGAAACATAAATGTAAGGAAACGATGAAAACAATAAAAGTGGGTAGATGATGAAGTAAACCAAAATCAAATTTCTGCTTAGAAGGATAACATCTGTCACAATACTTAGATAAAGATCGAGTATGTCTTATATTTTTAAGATTATGCATGTTTGTACCCCTACCACACTATATGTTATGAGAGGAAAAAAGAGTTTTGGAGTCGATCATTATCCTCTGATCTAGCAAGGTTAGAAACAGTAGCATAAACAGGCTTGGGGGTAGCATCATGCATCTAAAGGGCTGAGATTTTTAATGTCTGAAGGGGGGAAATGATAAACAACTCTTTTCCTATGAGTGAGACTAGGAGGAACAGCCATCGTAATTTGATTAGTGTTGTCCTTCAAAAGGAAGAGAAATATCTGATACTTGATTCATGAAGACGATATGCTTGTAGGTAATTTTTTTTAAAAAAGCCTCCATGAGTTTCTTCTTTCTCCCGCTTCTCTTTTTCATTATTACTCCTATATTTTAAAACTATAATGGCCTGACTTATTCCCTTTCATGCCAAAGCCATGATATGCCACAATTTTGCACGCCTTAGGCACACAAATCAATGCACACGCAAGTTCCAATTCGTGGATTTTTAAGAAGGCCAATGTTCAAATTTTGGCCAAAAACTATTTAAAATAATAAATAATCCAAATACATTTTTCAATCAAATGTTATAATAAAAATAAAAAAGTTATTCTTATCCTAATAGAACTCTGATTTTAAATTTTAGCTAATGCTACCAAATTTTTTAGTCAATAAAACCTAGCAAATCTCCCCCTAAATGCAATAATTTCCCAATAATTTGGACCCCCTCTATGACTCGAGAAATTATTCTGTGCGGAGACCGGACGGCGAGAACTGTCCGGATTTGTTGCCCTTTTACAAATACTCAACAAAAAGGCAGCAAATATGCATTCATAATTGCATTTTTGCTACCCTTTTATTGAGTATTTGTAAAAGCACAGTAAAAGAGCAGCAAATATTCAATTAGTATGATATTTGTTGTGCTTTAGATGGTCTTTTGCTGTATATTTGCAAAAGGGCGGCAAAAGTGAAATTATGAATGCATATTTGCTGCCCTTTTGTTGAGTTTTACAAAAGCACGGCAAAAGGCAGCTAAAACATAGCAAATTCGGACAGTTCTCATTGTCCGGTATCCGATTCTCTCCGTCTGGTCTCTGCACTGAATAATTTCTCCTATGACTTCCCTCTAAGTTGAGCATTCTAAACTCCTAAAGTCTTGAAGAATTGAATACCATACAACCTAAATAAATCAAGCTACACATAAACTAACACTCCAAAGCATGATTGTTGCACACCAAAATGGATCCACTTAAAATGAGATTGCACCCATCTAGGGGTGTAAGTAAGCCGAGCCAGCTCCAGTTCGACTCATTAACGACCTCACGAGTTGAGCTTATTGAGCCACGAGTTTGAGCTTGAGCCTATGCTCGAGCTTGTATATTAAACAAACTCACCTAGTTTAGCTCAAAAGCTTGTTGAGCTGCTCAATTAACTTAAAATATATTTTTAAAACTACTTTCAATTAGCATTATAAAAAATAATTTAACATTTTTAAATTAATTCTATATTAAAAAATAAAATTTCTAAAAAAATTTAAATTAAAAATTAAGAAATCGAGCTCAACAACGAGTCAAGATTGAACTTTCCAAACGAGCTCAAATAATCGAGCCAAGCTCGAGCCTATAAATTTTTTAACGAGTCTTCAACTCGAGCTCAATAATAATTAAACAAACTTAGCTCAATTAAATAGATATTCAACTCGACTCGTTTACACCCATCACTATATCTTTGAAAACCAGAAGTGTTTCTTGCTCTCCTCACTCAAAATGCTACAATGATACAGCCAACATTGGGACATATTTTAAAACATAAGATTGAAGCACCAAGTCAGCTCAAAAATAATCTCCCATAACATGTGTATCCTTTTATTCTAGAACTTTTATCAAAGCCAAAAAGCATGCCTCCAAGAATCACGGTGCTCCATCATACATAACAAACAGAGCGAAGTCCATGCAAAGTTTACACCCTGCAACACATAGAGCCTAACTGTTTTTTTCATCCTGATAAACAAAACACTTTCGTAAACTTTAAGGACCATTACATATCCAAAGAATTTGTATCTTGTATCACTAAAAGCACTCAAAGATCAAGATTATTCTTAAGATTTGGTACATGTCTGATTATAGTCAATTCCTGCTCACACAATCATATGCTCTCATCTTCACAATGCCAAAAATAAATGTCGTGTACATTGAATTATCTCATGTAAACATGGCCACCAAAACATAACTCTCTGAAAAATATCTCTTTATTAGTACACATGATATAAGCAAGCTAAATTTACAATCCATTATTATTTGCATCTATCTCCATCAATCGCCAAAAGAGTAGCACTTATATCAAAACTAGGCAAATATTTAATAACACCAACATATGTTGACTTATCATTTTTATGTTTGTAATCCACATGCTACTCCTTCCTTTTCAAAATATAGCAATCCTTCTTAATGCATCAATTCTTCCTGCAATAGACAATTTCTGTGCAGCTATCACAAGACTTCTTCCATACATAAGTTTGAATCAGATAACCATCATCAAGACGGGTACTGATGGGGAAGAGGAAAAAAGGGTATGGGCTGTGTGTTGGGATGAGGGGTGGATGGGTAAGGATTGGAGACAAGGTCAAAGATGAATGGTGTGGAAAATCTATAGTTGAAAAGAAAAAAAACAAATAAAATGACTATCTATCTACGGTCAACATCATCATTACGTTAGTAACCTTACCGAACTACTTCATCTTAGCTTTATGAAGCTCATTCTCCATTTATTTATGTTTGATGAAATACAATATCTTAACTCTATTTTGCATAAATCTTTTTGTAAAACTTATAACATATTACCTTTGGTCCATCCCTTTCATACTTAATACCCTTCACAATAATTTTCACTAACCACCTTTACTATTTCCATGATATAAGGTAAAAATGGATATGGAAAATTGATGATACTCACGGAGTATCAATGCTATGATTAGCTCCATATATTTTCTCTAGACATTAACTCTTAAAAGGCTAGAACTGGCACAAAATATTTATAAAGAGCTTTAGGAGCCAGATAAAAGAAAATAAAACACTTATTGAAGAAAGTAAAATGACAACATGGAAGAAAATATCCACAAATTATACAAGGAAAAAAAAAACCTGGAGAGTCATCAGTGATCATGTACACTTCACTTGTCGAGTATATGCCTCCAAGTACTGTCCGCTTCACATACCAATCAATGTCTGAACCCTTGTCTCCAGCAGCATGCCAAATCTCATCAACTAGAGCAGTTCGCTGCTTCAGGCTTGTTGTGAGATTCATCGGTTGTGCCTATCACTGGAAGTATTAGTATGATCGATAAGGCATTTCACGATGAAGTGAAGAAATTAGCTAAAACTTAAAAACCTGAATGCTCAATGCCTGGGGCCACTTTGATATATAAGGCACTTGCATTTCCAACCTGATACGAATAAGCTTTACAAGGCGGTCACTGAGTATTAATTCATTCAATACTTCCCCTGAATCAATACGGTCAATAAGCTTCTGCAGGCAATCATCCATGAAAAACTGGAAACGCCAGAAATACAACATATAAGAAAAAATTTCAGAGAATATTTAGCCATGTAGGATATAGTTCAAGACAGGAATTAAAAGGTCACAAAAAAAGAAATTTAGACTATACATCACGCTGATGAGGTTTTAACAGTAGATCTGCCTTTATCTTTAAGATAACTAAGGTTGTGCGCCCAAAATATATTGTTTCGCTTCATGACAAACCACATAAATTGGACAAACACACAAGTTGACTTTCGTGGACAATTTGACCAGGAATTCCTTTAACCTCCACTGAAGTAAACCTCTTCGCTTAATTGAGGTTGGAAATCTAAAAAATACATGTTCATCCATAGTTGTAGCAGTACTACAGGCCTAAAAAACACATAAAACATAGCATATAGAATTCGAGGGACGAACTCCAGCTTCTCCCTGGATGTTACCAGATAGGTGAAGGAGAGGAATAACAAAATCAATCTAGGAAAATGAAAAACAAACCAAAAACAAGAATAAATGACACAAGCTTGCAAACTACTGAGGAATTAGAATGTCATCATCCACTGAGTAGAAACAACACACATAACTAGCACCCATGTCTCGCAGCAAAAGAAGATTGATGTTATTTAAGACTGCCAGAAACTTAGCTGGTGATATCACGGGAGCTGGCATACTGGAGTTAACAACCTTTCACATTTAAATTCAACACTGCCATGGATAAGATATTCATTTAGAATTTTTGTAACTGTCTTTACATCTTGACAAACACTTGTTTAATGCCAGTTCATGTAGGGAGACTCAGAATATAGGGCAAATCTACAATGAGATACACAAAGAAACAAGCCAAAACTTGCAATTCGTGGTTTCCCAACTTGAACTTTGGCAATTATTAGTCTCCTTTGATGCAAAATCAAAAAACACACATAATTGACTTCAAATAATGATAAAAAATTCAACAACAATATGATATTCCATAAGAAATCTGAGAACAAATATTCAAGGTGAATAAGATTCTCGCCATGAAAACATAATAAATATGTAAAAGATTTATCCAAATCTCAATCACACACACAAACCAATCACAAAAAATTTTAGATAAGAAAATAAGACGAGAAATCACTAATTTGAAAACCCAAGCCTCACACGAATAAATGGAGAAACAACCCCCCATAAGTTATCAACAAGCCTTGCAAAGTGGTCAAAAACCCATTTACCAATACAGACAAGTTTGAGGGGAAATCTGAATTTTATTAGACCATAAACTGCACTTTACATGTATAATGACCTATTTATAACAAAAAAAAAAAAAAAAACTGAAAATAATAACTTATCAAAGTCCTCAATCATCTTACGTAATATTGCAAGATTCAATTCAGCTAATTTGAATCCCACCAGGAACAACAATTTTATAACATTAGTTTAAGCAAAACAGAAAATCTCCGCATAGAAGATTCCATCAACAATTCCAACAACTTCTGCTTTCCAGCTAGAGTTCAATACCAATAAAGGAACAAAACAGTTTAATACAGTGAAAAAGAGGAAATCGAGTAGTCCAACAAAGCTGCAATACCAAATACGCAAATCAAAAAACAAGGAATGACAAATAGCTATAAAAAATTGATGCAAGGAGATATAAACTAATTGTACCACTGTAAGGAAGAAACTCAGCACGACCCAGCGATAACCACAATAACCAACTTAGTGAATTGCAAATCAGTGGAAGAACAAAACAAAGGATTTATCATAAGCTGAAAAAGAGACCTTGAAGCATATGAGCAGTAAACTATCATTATTGGTATGTTACAACAACAACAACAACAACATCAAGCCTTTATCCCACTACGTGGGGTCGGCTACATGAATCCTTTTTCTCCAAAAAATGGAGAAAAAGGATTCATGTAGCCGACCCCACATAGTGGGGTAAAGGCTTGATGTTGTTGTTGTTGTTGTTGTTGTTGTAACATACCAATAATGATAGTTTACTGCTCATATGTTACAACAAATAAAAAAAATTAAAAACAACCGTTGATAAAAGGGTAATTAAATTAATGTTAATGCAAACGAATTGCATATTCAATGAATAAAGGCTTTCAGATTTGCACCATTTTGTCTAGCTTACAAAACATCATCACCAAAAAAATGAATATTTGATATTTTTCATATAAATCAGAGTAAATTTCTTGGTTCTTGAAGAGGCAACTCATGAATCATCACAAATAAGTTTGTCATCCCAAAGCATAAAATACTCCTGAGATCTACCACAAGTAATTGACACCATCCCTAAATGAGAGATAGCTTTTGGAAAAAGAGTAAATCCATCTGGTTAGGTGCCAGATGTGAATTTATAAGGAGATGGAAAGAGAGAACAATCAACAACACTGATAATAAATTTCATGAAATAAAGTCAAATAAAATATATTGACGTCTGAAATAATTCTAAAACTTCACAAATTTTCATTTTTTAAGCATTTTTTTCCAATATATCGCATGTGGCTTAATATAACATCATCATTATCATCATTACTGTAGCTAGTTTCTTAAAGACCATTGTAAGAAGCTTTTTAGAATTCAGACGTACCATTATCCTATCATATAGTTTAAATTTCATGTCCAATATTCACATCAACAATAGAATTATATTCGTCATGGTTAATAGTTAATTATTTGTACATATTCAAATAAAAAAATACATAAACAATGCAAATGATATGAAGCAAATGATGAAAATATAAGAATGCATTATAAGATGTACTATGTAGTACCTATAGCAAAGACAAGATGACAATAAAAATTAAGAACATGCAAACTACAAAAAATATGAAATGCCTACAAAGGAGATCGCCTTAAATAAAGTTAACCAAATGGCTTAAATATCATTGAGTGTTGATTTATGCACATTTAGATTCTCCTAGATGGATGAGAAGTTTTATTTCATGTTTTTTTTTGGGTAGTAAAAAATTGATTATAATACTAATAAAATTTAACTTATTCTCCATAAGTCTCCTACAAGTTTGGAGATCAAGGTACCAAGGGTAGAAAATAAAAATTAATTTCAGTTTGATTGTACAAATAACTTCATGAGAATTTTCATCATGCGTTAAATCAACTTGTTTAATGGATTCATCATCTTTAGTAGGCATGAGTTGTTCACTTTCACTTTTTTTTCTTTTTTTTTTTTGTTAGCTTTCACATTTAAATTCACTTAATCAATTGGCTTACTTGACTCATCAACTATAGCAGGCATAGTTCGTTTAGCTTCATGTTCAGGAATATGATAGGAAGTGGATGCAATTTCCTCGAAATCAGATAACAACGATAAGAAATTAGGAACAAAACACACCAAAATTATTTTTATTACAAGATATATAAAAGAAAATAGGAAGATACAATTGGATCTTCAATTGGAGAGGAAGATCCGGCTCTATCATGCCAACGCATGAAATAAATGGAAAAATAAGAATGCCACGGCTCACAGTGATAATTATTCTGTAAGTAGTTGTTTGGTATCTTATTAAACAAAACTTAAATCCAACCATGAAAATTTGTTGTCACTTTAAATCCCATATTTTGATAAATCTCTTTGCAGCCTCGTTATTGGTAGAACTCAATATTTTTAAAACCACATCATTCATAGAATTTAACACATTTCACAATTTATCTTACAAATCCTAAATCCTGAAATAAAAAATAAAACAATATATCAAGAGGTAGCAGATTTAACAATCGCCATGTCAACCTGTTTTTTAGGTTTTAATCCCTTCAATATTTACTAAATCTGGATTTACAGCATTTAATCCAATTTGAGCTAAATCCTACTTGTAGCCAGACAGCACCTAAAAATAAATCATTTTGGTGCTCATGTAATCAACCATCAATCTCCAACAAGGATGTACATTAGTGCATCACCAGCATCCCATTCAAGTAATTAGAGGGTGGGATGAGCAAGATATCAGGACGATAGATATAAAAGCTGCCACCGATTCAGCCTCACAAAGGCCTAGACGTACCAGAATACGAAAGAGATAGCACCAGCAGCACAACTAGTTCACAAGATAGTGAAGATACTTGACTAAATTTAAAGTTTAAACGTGCTTGTGAGGGCTTTTTCCCCCTTTAGAAAACGTGCTGCTGATAACAGTAAGTAAAAATTAAAAAAAAAATTAATTTAAAAAAAAAAACACATTTTCACCTCGACGAGCGCTGCCTCCTTGCGAGGGAAAGAGCCCACAATGGACGGAGAGACGCCGATATCTCTCGCCCCCGAAATCAAAGCCGAATAGCTCCATCCCAGTCTTGGCTATTCGCGAAACCATACAGACAATCCATTCAACCGATAACCTACCAAATCAGGACATAAATCAGAAGAGAAACGAACTTACAACGTGAGAGAGTGCAGCACGGAGAACCCTCGCCTGCTCGTCTTCGTAGCTACTCCCTACTTTCGTTCTGTAGCTCCGTTCTTTATGGGTTGCCCCTTCATCTTCTCCTCCTCTTATGGTTTCTTGATTTGGCTGCTGTTGATGGCTGAAGGGGTTTTGGGGAGAGGGCGGAATGGTAGAAGCATCGGTGGAGAGGCGGAGAAAAGGCGTGAAGACGCCGCGACGTGAACCGGTGCTGTGCTGAATAAAACGATATGCCGCTGATCGGATCATTTCAAATTATGGGGTGACGGGAAAAAGAGAGAGACACACAGAAGAGCAGAATCCTTTCAGAATGTGAGAAGAAGTGTTGGGGCAGCGCCGAGAGTGAGACAAGGAATGCAGGGGAGCGGGCTTTTCCGCCGCGCGGGGGACTGAGAATGGCTTGTATTTTGTGGATCAGATCTGGCTTCCACAACCAGTACTGCGATCGGGAGCAACTTAAAGGGTTTGTTTGGTTTGAAGCGAGAAGGGTTTAAAGTATCATAATGTAAGGTTGTGTTGGGAAGGAATATAAAGTAAAATCTTGAAGTATATGATCTAGTTTAATTTTAGGTATTTAAAATTTATTATATTTGATTGAGTTTTAAATATATTATAAATTAAATATCATTTTGATAGTTGTCTATCACTATTGTCTTCCACCACCTGTCACCATTGTTGTCACTGGCTACAGGCAACATCCACCGCTAGTGTTGGCTGTTGCCGCCACTGTCGTTTCTAGCCATCAATAATTGACCCCTATCATTTAGTTTTATATTATATACATTTTACTATAAATCAAATAAAAAATAATCGCATGCATTTATTTTACACTCATTCAAACAACTTAAAACATTTCAAGTACAATATATTTCTTTTACATTATATTACATTTCTTTTTTTTTATTCTTTTTTTATCAAAATTCAAGCCCCTAGTTCTTGAAATTCCTCATTAAATGGTGGTGGGTGGCATTGATTTTATTTTTGGGGTTTAAACTTAATGTCCATACTAATTTGATTAAATTGCACACTTATGAATTTTAATTAACATTTTTTCTAGATATTTTGGCTACTAATTTACACAATTTTCTCATTGTTTATTCGATTCAATCTTCGTATTAAGTCGTTGATTTATTGGCTTATCGATTTACTAGTTTATTGGCGTCGACTATGCTAGTTTTTATATTGGAGACTATTCTACCATTCACACTGTCCACGTATTTTATTATTTCAACATTGCACATATTCAGGATCATAAGATTGCAATTATTATGAATTGGTTGACAACATGCATACTATTTTTTTTACCGTGCTTTGAGTTTAGTTGTAGGATTTAGTGACCTGGTGGGCTATTTAGCTCATTATAAGTGATTTCAATGATTTCAAATCAAGGTAGGAGATTAATAGTCTGAAATTTATCAGGATTCCCTATGTTTATTGTTATTTTGTTTGTTTCTACTTTATAGTTATTTTCCTGTACTTAGGACTCGATGACTTATGTAATTATTTGTGAGTATTATATATATTTTTTTGTAGCAATGAGTACATATGTATATGATGTTTTGATTGCTATATTAATTTTAGTTGTCATTGTTATATTAAAAGATATAAAAGTAGTCTTAGAGTTGTTATATTAAAAGATAAAAAAAAATAATTAATTCAATTTAGATTTCGAGGCATGATAAGAGTAACTACCCTGAGGGCCCTCAATTCGCCCTAATGTGATGAACTAACCACTTAATTCATCTTCTCGTAAGCCTTAATTCTTTCTATTTTTTTTTTTTTAATGCAATCCAATGTTCAATATAGGCACCATCAACTCCTATACCTTACTTGTCATCAATCATGCCCATTGTTTAGAACTCGCTCATAGATTTGCCCACTCCTATCCAACACTATCAAGCTCGCCCATACTATGAAGCTCGCCTTCGCATATATAGTGTATACTCGACACAACTGAGCTCTACAGTGCCCTGCCTCCCTCAACGAACTAAGAGGCGACACATGTTTATGATAGTCTACGTAGCATTATACTTTTTACTTTATTGGGTATAATATTTTATGAAGCCCTCATATCCTACAAATAAGGGGTGAAATGAGCATTTTAGATCAGGCTCTTATTGTTCTCAGATTTTTTAAAAAACTTGATGAGCTTTTTGAGTACTTTTGTTTTATAGCTTTTCTCTATCATTTCTCATTCTCTTCATTCTCACGCATATTTTAGCTCGCACACTCGAAGAGTCGGCTTGCTAATAAGATTTGGTGTCATATAAATTTTAATCCAACATCAATAGCAGCACTACTTCGAAAATAAAATATAAATAGTTTTCAACCTGTAAGAAGAATTGGGAAGACGTGGTGATGCAGTAGAAGGATTAATGAGGGCTAACGGCAACCCACTTGGTTTAAAGCACTTCCATGCACGTACATAAGGCCTGGGCAAATTATTGAGTCCGGTCAACGGACATGCGGATATCCAATCTGGACACGCCACCTCACCCGGATGCACTGGGCCCCAATATTTTTGAGTGATGTGGCGCGTTTTTATTGGTGTCCGGACAAATCCGGATACCGGACACAATAATTTGCCCAAGGCCTGGGTGCATTACGGCATATTACCTGCTTGCTTGCGTATCCATCTCTCCAGCTCTCCGTTGCTCTCTCTAACACCATCACTCCCTTTACTAGTTAAATTACATCATCCTTGTGTTTCGCTCTCCTTGTTTTTTTTTCCTTTATTATAAGAAAGCTCTAATGGCCACCAAATACTGTTTGCGTAAAGATGCCAGTGTTAATTTGGACTCTGGTGTTTGGTGACCGCAGCTTTTTGTATATATACTAATTTTAAAATAAATTCAACAGTCAAATTTATCACGAACAAAATTCATTCAAAATATTCCGACAACTCTTTCGAATGCATAGCTTTTTGTAGCAACTAGAGAAAGAAAAATAGATTAGTATGAACCATTTAGAAAATCATTCCTTAGTTATATCTCAAATATGAAGTATAATTAGTTATAAGGATAAGGATTTTATGTGATCCACACTTAGGCTTCATTTGGGAAGTCTTTTTTACTGGTTGATTTATAAAGTAATAAGAAAACAATTCTAAATGATGTCTTAATTTATCTATAATAATGTCCAATTTAAGCATTACTGTAAACATAAAATACAATCTCCTTTTCAAGATAGAGATAGAAATATATACATCCTAATTATTTTTTTCCTTTTTTTTAGAATAATTCAACACATAAAACTAAGGCTTCATTTTAGATGACTTTCTTACTGCTTCATAAAGCAGCTTTCTAGTACTAAAATTTTAATTTTTTATTAAAAAATTGCTTTATAAAATAATAAGAGAAACACGCACCCCAAACTAAGTTTAAATAAGGTTTTATAAAACAAAAAATATTGTTGGTGCTTGATTTAGGTTCAATATGAAGTGAATTAAATTAAGGTTGACCTAGAGCATAATACTAACATGGTTGAGAGAGGGAGAGAGAGAGATTCCTTCTCCCATGAAAGGAAGACACCTAACCATTTCACCCTATAAGTCATAAGCAGCAAGAACGAAGAGAGAAGCAGCTAGCTAGCATGCCTAGAACTTATTTATATTGAAATCCTATGGAGACAAAAGAAATATGTGATGTTATTTATTTATGTTAATTTTTGATATATTGACTGATCCTTCAATTGTCAATACGCTAAAAAATTTCTTATGCCATCATCAAAACAGTAAAACAATATATATTACTAGTACTACTTATCGTAACCGTTCTTTCCATTCCTGCCCAGTACTCCTTTACCCTTCAGCCGACGGTTAACCTCGTCCTCAATCTTAGACAACATTTTATCAGCCGTGCACAGGCAATCTTCATCACTACTCTCCGCCTCCATGAGCTGTCGGCGCCGCTGCGTGCTCTTAATTAGCTTGCCGGCGTCGCAGTTGTTACTCGCATGGCCAACGCCTGGGCTGTGGCCGGGCTCTGTGGCCCGCTGATCTTTACTGCCAATCCAAGCCATTATGCGCATAGATCCCTCGATGTGCAAAGCACAAAGAGAAAGGAGTAGAAGAAATAATGCTATGGGGACGAAGGGGCCATTGAACCTGGCCATGTTTGTGTATGGAACCGAGAGAAATGCAAATATGCATGTTTGGGTTGGACTTCTCTACGGTACCTATATATATAGAGAGAGAGTGGAGGTTCTAAATTACTTAAATTGTAAGTCATTTGAAACAAAATGTAAATTTTAATGCAAATAATAATAAATTAGATCATGACTTTGTGGCTTAAAGTAATTATTATGCAATTATTATATAAATATATTATATTTCAGAACATATAAAATTTAAATTCTCTCTTCTGTCTTGCACTTATGATGAAAAAATGTGTTAGAAATTAGCAGATTTATTAGATGGCTCTCTCAGCTACTGTCAAACTAATTAATTAATCTTATTAGAATAAAAATAATTCAAATAATTACTGTTCGCAATGTTTTAACTGATTGAACCAGCTGAATAAAGCTGTTTAGTTGCGTAAAATGCAAGCAAATTAATTGCATTTTACCTTTTTTCTGATCTACGGGCCTCTGAATTGTCCCAGAAATGGTGAATTATTGTCTGGAGCTTCATATTATTTTCCTTCCATTTGTTTTTCAGAGCCAGATGAATGCAGAATGCATGGATGCGTGTTGATTTGGAATATGAGTTGGGCGGTTGAGTAGAATTAGCCATTACTAAGCGACAAAATCACTCTCCATATTGAAAATTGTATCCAACATTTATGACTGTATTTATGAGATGGGGACCTGATGCTTATTTTTCCAGCATTTAGCATACTATTAAGAGAAGAAGGTGATTGTGTTGAAACACATTATAGCCTTATAGGCATGCGCATTCTCATTTGTGGTCAGTTTGATCAAATATATCATCACAGAAATCTGATTCAATTCCAATAAAATATTGATCATGAACTAAAATCTAAAGCTTCGTTTGGGTCGGCTTTCTTATTGCTTCTAAAAGCAACTTTCTTGTTCAAAAATTAAAATTTTTATACTATAAAGTTACTTTATGAAGCAGTAAGAAAGCCTTCCAAAACAAAGCCAAATAAAGCTTCAAAACTCCGATTTTTATCTCCCTTTGATCATCTCCAACCAAACGCCTAATACTCATTTGACGCCCATCGTTTGCTCCAGCTGATCGCAAAAAAATAAAATGTAATTCGTGTGAGGCTGAACAGTGCGACTCCAATATTAACATCGCAGTACTGTTCACGCACAATTTTTTGTTAATAAAAAATTATGTTAAATAAAGTTTGAGAAAGAATTTAAATAAAATATTCTTTTTTTGTGTTAGAAAATAAAGTTCGGTTGAAGACGAGTTACTGCATTTCGAAGTTTTACTGTATTTTGAAGTGAAAATTGAATTTTTCGGTTGGAGATGTCCTTAAGCTCAATTCTACTATTTCTACTAGAATCTTGATAAATACCTTCCACAAGCAACTCTAAATCCAACAATAGAAAATGAATGTCCAATTTGCGTGTACAGAAATAAGTAATAAACAAACACCAGTGGTTGAATCTTATCAAATACAATCCTTCTAATTAGAATCCGTCCTCTCATGTTCTTTATACCTGAACTCAAACAGTGCTAGAAAACTCAAAGCGCACAGAGGGCTTTGTTGCACATATTGCATAGCTGAAAATTTAATTTCATCCAACAAGCATAAAACTATATACATAACATAAATTTAATAATCTTTGCCTAAGATCACCTAATGAAATATTACTTGCCTTAGAAGCTTTATTTATGTAATTTTGATATTCATGTACATCAAAACTTATTTCATAAGCTAAAAGGTTTGAGTAGAAATCATCCCTTATGCTTAAGATTGATCAGTTCTCTGATGCTCTCTACTGAGCTATCCCATCAGCTGAAAGATTAGAAAGAAAATTGGTCTTCAGCTTACCTAACTCACATGGATAGCTCTATTACACCTTGAAATCATTTCTTCACTAAATCAAATCCCACTCTTAAGCAATAAATGATTGATGATGAGACACCAAATTAAATATATTCGCTCTACAATAATTAGTTTTAATTTTAATAGCAGCTATATACCAAATGATCTAATTTGTTTTTTCTTCTTTTGGTGGGGTAGTTACTATTTTTATTGGGGAACTTCATTAGGAATGAAGTATTAACAATGGGATTTATATACATGCATAGCATAAATAACAATGGGATCTATATACATAACATTCAAAAATAATGAAATTTACATATTTAATATATAAAATTTGCTATTTACCTACATAACAGATCAAACAATATAATAAAATTAGGGGTGTCAATAAATGACCAAACCCGTCAATGAAATCTAAAGTATATGGGTTTTGAACTGGCGGAAGTCCGACGGCGGTCGGTGGACAGGCGGAAGTCCGGTGGCGGTCAGCAGAGGGGCAGAAGTTCGGTAGTGGTCGACGAACTGGTAGAAGTCCGGCGGCAGCCAACGGACTGGCAGAAGTCAGGCGGTGGTTGGGAGGAACTCCGGCGGTGGTCGGGAGGAACTTCGACGGTGGTCGGGAGGAACTCCGGTGGTGGTCGGGATGAACTCCGGCGGTGGTCGATGGTAAGAGAGCTCCCAAACTCCTCCCTTTCTTTCCTTATTCTTCCTCCATTTTCATGTGAATAATGAGGGCCTATTTATAGTTTTTTGAGAGTAGCATGACATGTAAATATGATGAGGATCAATGTCAAAATAGGAGTGGTTTGAACGGACGGCCATATTGATCCCTTTGATTGTAAACTGTTTATTGATCATTTGAATGTCTTAATGACATCGAAATTCAGTGATCTTGGGCTCGTTGGATTCATCCCGTCGAGCCGCTCGATTTGAGTATAAGCATGTCACGTTTAGAGTTCGTTTGGTTATTCAAATTATGGTTTGAACATTCCAAATGAGCTTTGGGTCTTTGATTTGGACTCATTTGGGGTCAAATTGGTCGAATTTGTGTCTTTGGGCTCGCATTTTTGAGCATTCGGTTCGACTGTAAGTTTGCTAAAATCGGAATTAAGATAGTGTTTGATTTAATTTTTGAAGCTTACAACTCAATTTTGCTTCGTGATTGATGAAGATAAATTTTAACTGATATATCAGCTCTTATATTTTCTCTCAGGTCTCAGGTTTTTTTGTATTAAAGGTTTTTTGCTTTCTCCTATTTTGGTAGGAGATTCTTTTTGGCAGTTTTTTTCTGCTTAGAGCTTTGCTTTTTTTTTTTATATGTTAGTTCTATGTTAGATTCCTCGTATTTTTATTATTGTTTTTTCATTTCTTAATAAATGGGCAATGTTCCTAATTTTTCTCATATATATTATTGAAATATATGAAATACTGACAAACGAAATTATACAGCATCATAAATATAGACATTTAACCAAAGGAGACCGAAACTCATATATAATGAAGTATAAACCAAGCAACCAACAACTCTACAGCGCCCTAATCCATTCGTCTTCTCTCACTCTACTACGTCTTCTCCTCCGACTTCCTGCTCTTCTTAAAGCAACAACTCCCATGGGCAAAGCCCTAGATCCAGAATCAGCATTCGATCGCCTGATTCTGCCATCCTTCTTCTCTAATCCCGATCCCTTTCAGTTTCCGTGCTCTAGGCGCGATTTTCATCGCTGCGATCTTTCCATTTGTTGAAGTTTTTGAAACACGTTTGCGCATCGCAGGCTAATTGGTGGAGATAAATCACATTTGTCTGCGCTTTTTGAATCCGAATTTTCTTTGGATGATGATGATGGAAATACTGTCATGTAACGGGCGATTTCAGTTCCAGAACCCAAGGCGGAGTGTGTTGGCGGTGGTCTCCGCTCATAAGGCCCTCTTTACTGTGCTCTGGATTATAGGGTTCTCTTCTTTGTTCTTATGGCAGAGGAGCTCCGTCGAGGGGATCCGGATCTTCCTATGGGTGGCTTGGCGTCCGCCGGGCACGGCTTTGCCGAGGCTTCGACCGGTGGCGTTCAACCTCACGGACTTCGGTGGGGTCGGTGACGGAGTCACGTTGAACACTGAGGCGTTCAAGCGAGCGGTGGCTGCGATCTCCAAGTTTGAGAAGAGGGGTGGGGCGCAGCTGAACGTGCAGCCTGGGCGCTGGCTTACCGCTCCCTTTAATCTCACCAGTCATATGACTCTGTTCCTTGCGGAAGGTGCTGTTATTCTCGGGGTTGAGGTGAGCACTTCTCAATATGACCGAAATTTGTTCTCTCTTGGAACTATCTGCTCATTCTATCCTCCCACCCGCTATTTTGATATTTTTCACTCATCCGTTACTCTAGATTATATTGGAAGAGTATTCGAGCATAACGACTGTAGTAGATGATTATCTAAACTTATTGTATTAATTATAATGACACTTCTGCTCAATGTAGTGGTATCCGGATATACATTATAAATAGCATGGGAGTGTAGAACATAGAATGCACGGTTTACAGTAAAGGAAGAACAGAGAGATCAAAAGAAGATTTGGAGTGTATATTCCTTTTCCACTTAACTTTACCACTACGAATGTACAATATATACACACACGCGCGCTTAAAGTAACCAATACATCAGGTATAACTAAAGGTTAGGATTAATCAGTTAAGCACCAATGGTGATTACACCATGAGTCAGAAAAGATGACAACAACAGTGATAGTGGAAGCAGGCACTGCTAGCATTATTGTGAAACATTGGCTTGCTTATCACGCTCTCTCAAGTTAGCCATATTCTCTGAAATGATTAACTTGCTTCTAAGTTGAAGAAATCGAGGAATGGAAAGAGCTTTGATAAATATATCAGCAAGTTGATATGTTGTATGTATATGTTGAATTTGAATAATCCCATTTTTAATTGAATCTCGAACAAAATGAAAATCTATTTTAATATGTTTGGCTCGTGCACAAAAAATGGGATTAGTAGCAATTGATATGGCTGATATATTATCACAAAATAAAGTAGGAGATGAAAATGTTATTTGAAATTCATGAAGAAGCCGTCGAAGCTAGATAAGATCAATAGTTGTTGTAGCCAGAGCTTTGTATTTGACCTCTGTTGAAGAATAAGCAACCGTTTTTAGTTTCTTAACTTGCCAAGAAATTAACGTGCTGCCAAGATAGGCACAAAATCCAGTCGTAGACTTACTATCAAGAGGATCTCCAGTCCAATCGAAGTCGGTATATGCAAATAAAACAAGTTTATTGGGCAGAATAGGAAGTCCAAACCGCGAAGTACCTTTAATGTATCTTAGTAGATATTTTAATGATTTATAATCTCCTTTTAATGGTTGATGCATATATTGGCATAGTTTATTCACTGTGAAATCAATATATGGCCTTATTATCGTTAAATATTGTAAGGAGCCCACAATATGTTTGAAACATTGAGCTTCTAGTTGCAACAAAGCAGCTGAACTGTCCATAGAAAGTTTCGTAGGTATTGGATACGAAATTGGTTTGTAGTCGATCATTCTAGCCCGGTTAAGTAAATTTGCAGCATACTTGATTGAGAAAGATGCAAACATGTAGCAGTAGAAGAAACTTGCATGCCTAAAAAAGTAGATATACAACCAAGGTTTTTCATATGAAATATGTTAGATAAACTAGAAATAAATTGTTGAAGATGCAATTCATTGTTGCCAATAAGAAGAATGTCATCTACATAAACCAAAATGTAGATACTAAATGGTACTTTTGTATAACATAGAAGAGACAGATCATCACTGCTGTGTTGAAAACCAGAATTTAACAAATATGCCAAAAATATTTCAAACCACTGATGAGGAGATTGCTTTAAACTATAAATGAACTTTTGAAGTGAGCAAACATAATATGAAAATAAGTGGTCTTGAAAACTCGCAGGTTGAGACATATATACAATATTATTAAGTTTTCAATGCAGAAAAGCATTGGACACATCCAACTGTAAAATTTTCCAATGACAAGTAACGACAACTATGAGAAAATTCAAATGGTGGGAAATATAGCTATTGGACTAAATGTTTCAAGATAGTCAAACAGTCAAACCCATACTTTTGATTGCAACCTTGAGCAACATGTCTAGCTTTGTATCTTGCAATAGTACCATCCGAATGAACTTTGGTTTTAAAAATCCATTTGGAGCCCAAGATGTTATGAGTGGAGTCACGAGGGACCAATTTCCTAGTTCCTTGAGGTTGAAGAGCTTCAAATTCAACAGACATTGCCTTTCTCCATGGCTCACTCTTGACAACTTTACTAAAACAGATAGGATTAGTTGGTAGAGTAGAGTGAAGCATGCTTATAATATGTTTTGGTTTAAGATTCCTAGTTTTGGATCGAGTAACTATGGGATGTTCTGGATAACCGGAGCTAATGAAGAATCCGGTGAAGAAGAAGAAGTTGGATAGTATACTGAACCAACAGGTGATGGAAGAATAGGAGAAGGTGGAGTTTGGGAAGTTTCAACTGAAGGTGGAAGAGAAGCAGTGAATGGGTCAGCCTATATAGATGTTGAAGATGGTTTGGGAATAGATGTAACTGGTACAAATAAAGAGGGTGGAATATATGGTAGAGCTGTAGTAGAAGGTTGTTGAATAGAATTTTGGTGAAAAGGAAAAATTGTCTCAACAGAACGGACATGTTTTGTGTGAGGAACATATTAGTTGTGAGAGATGGTAAGCGGTTTATTAGATAAACGACAGTAAGTAGGGCATCAACCCAAAAATGAAGTGGAAGTTTGGCATCGAGTAATAATGTTTTAGCCGTCTCAATGACGTTTCGATGCTTATGCTCAGGCAATCCATTCTATTCGGGAGTATAAGGGCAGGAAATTTGATGAACAATACCATTTTTGCATAAATAATATTGAAAGAAATGAGAAACAAATTCTCCACCACCATCAGAATGTAAACATTTTATGTGTTTATTGAGTTGGTGTTCATTAAACCTTTTAAAACGAAGAAAAGTAGGATCATCTTCAGATTTGTTACGAAGTGGATATATCCAACAAAGTTGAGAAAAATTATCCAAAAAAAAAAAAATGATGTAATGCTTGAAACCTTGCATTGATAATATTTAGGAAGGTCCCCATACATCGACCCCGACTTCGTCCATGAACAACCGAATAAGCGAGATGTGGTCGGAATGAGAAGACACAGGCATATCACGAGCAAGATCATAAGCTAAATTGAGTTTTTCACTACATAGTATGGCATAAAAATCATCTAGACTAATTGGTTGAAGATTAGTCCGAATGACTGTTTTGAATGCCTGATACGAGCTGAGGAGACCATTTAAAGTGTACAGGATAACATTTTCAGCAGGTAAGGGAATACTGGAGGAGCCAAAAGCATCAACTTTGCTTTTAATGTCAGATAAATACTGCATCATGGATTTATCCATCATAGAGAGGTGATGCAACTCATTTTTGAGTTTAAGAATGCGTGAGTGGTTTGTCGATTGAAGAAGTTTTCCAATGGCTTGCAAGGTTCTGATAAACTAAAATCTAGGTATGGAACTGAGGATTTGGAAGAATTTCTCCATTATCAGAAATAAGCTGTTTCAGTGGTTTTGGTGTGTAACCGTCCAAAAAACCATCAGACCCGTTGGCAGTAAAAAGTTTTAAAATCTGAGAGCTCCACAGTGGATAGTTTTTAGCCGTGAGTTGGATGTTAAGAACGGATTTAACATTTATCATAAAAAAACTGAGGAATGTAAACGTCTCCCATCTTTATAGGAGATGAAGAGGGAGCTGATACCGAGGTAGACGAAGTAGTAGAAGAAGAAGACTGCTTCCACTATCACTGAGCCATTTCAGGAAAAAGAAATCTTAAAACAGTGTTTACCAACCTGAGCTCTGATACCATGTAAAACAGAATGCACGGTTTACAGTAAAGGAAGAACAGAGAGAGCAAAAGAAGTTTTGGAGTGTATATTCCTTTTCCACTTAACTTTACCACTACGAATGTACATATTATATATATATGCTTAAAGTAACAATACATCATGCATAAATAAAGGCTAGGATTAATCAGTTAAGCACCAACGGTGATTACACCGTGAGTCAGAAAAGAGAACAGCAGCAGTGATAGTGGAAGCAGGCACTGGTAGCAGTATTGTGAAACGTTGGCTTGCTTATCAGGGATTAGATAATTCTTCTGCTTTTGAATCTCGTCAGAGGAATTGAAGGAAATGGTATGCCTGGCAAATTCAAATTCATTTGCCATGTCTAGTGCACGGGTAAGAAGAGTAAGAGATTATATAGTACCTGGTATCTATACGAGCTCCTTTATTGATTGCGGCTCTTGAGTATTTTGTTCGGTCTGATTTTGCATGCTAGCGTAGGATTTTTTCTCACCCGAAAAAAAAACACATTGTTTAACATTAACTGCCACAACCCCGATGTGAGAAGAAACATAATGGGTAAAGCATGTTGTTCTCATCCATATTATTGTAATTAATATATTCTTGCTCGTTTAAGGTATTCACTTGCTAGAAGATACTATCTCAACCTTAATTGGTGGTGGTTTTCCTTTTATAAGAAAAAGGGAATACGTGGTGCAGGCAGCTCTATCAATGCGAGTATGGGGTGAGAATTTACACAACCGTACAACTACCTTGTACACAGTATTTTGATTGAAATCTATAACCTCCACGTCAAAATTGAAGCAACATAATTTTTGATCTTAGGAGTGCCTTTTATTATATCCTTGAAAACAAATAAATGAACAGTAGTCTGTCAGTACGTCCAGTGTACATAAATTGAACTGCAGTTAGCTCCCTTATCTGTAAGCCTATTTGATTTGTTAGAATTTTGCAGCCATGTCTATGAGATTTACCTAATTAGACCCAATGTAAAGATCCACTGCAGGCGGGGATATGTGTTAGTTGGCAGATGATTAACTGATTTGGTTGTCAATTGATGATGCCATATATAACAAAACCTGGATTAAGAATCTATACAATTAATTAGCATTTATTGCATGGCATTTATGTACCCTCTCCACTGCAGGTGGGGACTAAAATGAATTCAAGCGGTTATCTGTTCATCAATGACCAAAAAAGATAGTAAAGCAAAAAGAGGAAACTTCGTGATATTCATTCATTTAAAGATCTGGTGTGTAAAAATAGCATGAAATTAAAAAGGAAAAAGAAAATAAAAGACTGGCCCAACAACGATGCTAGCTTAAAAAAAAAAAAACGATGCTAGCTTATAACATACAACCACTAGCCCATGCTAGCTTTAAAAAAAAAAAAACGATGCTAGCTTATAACATACAACCACTAGCCCATGCTTCTTTTATTGCTTATATTCAACAAATACTATTTATTTATAATTAAAACAATTAAATGAACTGATTGGATTACTAGCCAGGTCAATTCGATCTATGCTTGGATTGAAAAATGTGTGATCCAATTTTATGGCTTTTTGCTCGGCTCAATAACTTTGGTTTGGACCTGTGGGATGGAGGGTAGAAGTTGCTCTAACTTGACAAGCTTGCCAAGTAGATGGATTTAATGGAAAGGAATAGGAAGGACAATGAGTAGGTCAGAGGAAAAACTTCTAGAAGTTTTACAAAGAAACTTGTATAAATGCTTTGTGTATCCGTTTCTTGGTGCCATAGTTGAAACTAAAGTCAAAGAAAGTTTACTCTTTCCATCCCCGATGTGTGCCAAGAGTGGGACAACTGTGATGGAGGTGTGATATATGCCATTTATCAAACAAGTTCCTGCCCATTTTAAGTTATTTATGTGTGTGAAATATAGTTATGCTTTTAGGCGGGAAAAATTTTTAGCCCATAAACTTAAGCTTCAGTTGCAGTTCGATACTTGGAAGAGAAAACCCCCAGTAACCAAGACACGTGATGGTTAGAAGTCTTGTAAAGCAGGCAAGGCAACGTACTATTAAAATCATTACTGCACATTTCATATTTTTTTATTCTATTTTATTCTGTCAGGTAGACTATATAACTGACTATAGAGGAGGTGTAAATTAGAACTAGCTAAAACTAACACTAGGAAAGAAAGTCTGGCCTTGGCAAACTTGTATCTTCTGTTTGCTAAAGTATTTCTGAAATTAAGATAACCACCTAAATAGGAACCAATAAACTTTGTGAATTGGTAATTCGTTAGTGTTGCATTCCTCTTTAAAAAAAATTCATCTATTATCTTTTTGTAAATTATTTGTACTTTGGAACTTTGCATTTTCTGGTTTTTAGTGAATGGTATGGTAAGGGTAACTTCCTTTGCATGCAAAGCATTCTTATTTATTTATTTTTTGTTTACAGGATGAGAATCTATGGCCATTGATGCCTCCACTACCATCATATGGATATGGGAGGGAGCATAAAGGACCTCGATATGGAAGCTTAATCCATGGTCAAAAAATTGTGGATGTAGTTATAACAGGTTGGTTGTCATAGAGCATCTTACTGTTTAATCACTTCTTTCCTCATATTCTTTTTTAAATAAAGCTTGTCAATAAAACAAGGAAGTAGTCTTGTAGCAGACAAAAAAGTAAGGACTTCAGAAGTACTCTTGTAGTAGACAAAAAAGTAAGGACTTCAGAAGTACTCTTGTAGTACATGAACTAATTCAATGGCTGGTATTTAACCAAAGGAAAAAAAGAAAATTTTATTTCCAAGCCTGGCATTATCATCCACTGTACTATGCCCCACTTAGTTTTTTCTTGTTCTTTTGAAATCAATGTTGCTTTAGTGTTTGTTTCATTTAGTTTCTTTTGTTGCACTTTATAGTTTTAGCATGTACCAATAATCATAAACTATTTCATTTGTGTTATGCCAAAGTCAGCTATTGAGTTGAATAATTAATCATATAGAGAAGTTCGCCTTACTTGAATGATAAGGAATTAAGGACTGTTCTTTTGCAAGGCTGTTTAAAGAGTTATCACAGAAAAGTGATTTGTGTTACATTTTTGCGCTTGACTGGTATTGTCATTCTGAAAATATATATTTCTTGTTGAATTAATTATCAGTTGCTTTTAACTTTTCAAGCTTTTCTTTGATTTTAATTTTCTATGTGCAAGTGTAAATTCAAGTTTGATTAGTTCGTTGGTATTTTAATTGGTCTACACAATATGGTACCTTTTTCAAAGTATTAGTGATTTTTTCCGTAGCTCGACATCCTTATATCTTTAAGTTTATTGTGAACTGTTCAAGATATCAAACACTATGGACTACTGAGAAGTTTACATTTATTTATTCTTTTGTTTTATAAATGAACTAAGCTTTTTTCTTAAGTTTATTCTCCAGTAACTGAAATGTAGTTGCTTTTCTTTCTGCACCCTTCTTTGCTAGTAACACCGAGTCATATTTATCGGCTTGGTTAAAATCTACTCTACCCAGATTAAATTCCAATCACCCCCACCCAACTATATGAAGTGTTTTAATGAGCATGGTTTAGTTATAGCGACCTAGGTTTAATTCAAATCCTCAATGTATTTGGATTATAATTATCCTTAAGTTTAGTATGAAATGACATTTTGATATGGGATCCGTGTTAAGTAGATCGTTGCGCGGTGTGATCCAATTTGCTTTATCATTCGAGGGTATGTCATTTGATGAAAAAAAAAAAGAGGGTAAGGGAAGATGGATATTGGCCTTATGATTGTTAATTGGGTAGAGGAGATTGGCGAGGGCAATGGACTCGTGAGTGAAATAAAACAAATGCCCAAAAAAATTTGTATTGTGTATGATGAGTTTCTTAGGCATCCTAATTTACTTTCAAACTTAGCATTTGTAGGATAGAGGAGGTGTGAATTACAGAAACTCATCCTCTATTGGTTTATACTTAAAGAGGTTTTCTAGAATGAACCATAATCATGAGGTTTCACGTATTAAATCTCTTCCTAAATGTATGCTCTGAGTTCAGGGAAGATCCAATTCTTAGGTATATTTCAGGGATAATTTGGTGCAATGCTTATATGTATAATGCCTAAATATATAATTAAATTGAAAAAGTCAAAATAATACAGTGACCCAGCAAATAAGGTCGCCACTTCTGGATGGCTAGCGCAATTGCCATCAACTCTCTTACATAGATTGACTTTAACCTAGCTTTAGCTGTCAACACTTGGCTGAATAAGCTATGGGTCGGTGGCTCTGCATGAGTGCTGCTCCCAATCCATACCCTGAGACATCTGTCTCTAGTCTCTACTACAAAAACCTGAGTTAAATCTGATATAGCCAAGACTGGTATGGTGGTCATGGCCTTCTTCAGCCTTTCAAAAGCTACTGTGGCCTCCTCCCCCCACAAGAAGTTATCTTCTTCAATTGTTCTGTCAGTGGATAGGCTATGGTGGTATAGTCCCTCAAGAACCTCCTGTAGTAGCTTGTTAGCCCTAAAAATTCCTTCAACTCCCTAAGATTCATGGGAAGTGGTCATCTTAACATAGCCTCAATTTTAACCAGATCAGCAGCCACCCCCTCTTGAGATACTACTTGTCCCAAGTATTCCACACTAGGCTGTGCAAAACAACATTTCTTCAAATTAACCCTCAGTTGCTGCTCCTATAACACCTCTAGAACTGTCCTCAAATGCTCAATGTGTTCCTCCTCTGACCTGTTGCACACAAGAATATCATAAACGAAAACCAACACAAATCTCCTGAGGTAGGGTCGGAACACGCTATTGATGAGCGGCTGGAAAGTGACTGAGGCATTAGTGAGGTCAAAAGGCATCACCAAGAACTCATAGTGCCCCTCATGTGTTCTGAAAGCAGTCTTTGGCACATTATCATTTTTCATTCTATATGATGGTACTTTGACTTTAGATCTATCTTGGTGAAGATAACTGCCCCACTTATCTCATCTATCATTGGGATATGAAATTTGTCTGGCATAATTTTCTTATTCATAGCCTTATAGTACACGCAAAATCTCCAACTCCTATCCTTTTTCTTAAGCAGTAGCACTGGACTAGAAAAAAAGACTCCTCACTAGGCCGGATAATCCTTGTCTCTAGCATTTCTCTGATCAATTTCTCAATTTTATCATTATGAAATTAAGGATAGTAGTATAGCCTGACACAGATGGGTGACACCCCTTCCCTTAGGTTGATAGCATGTTCCTACTCCCTCGGCAGTGGAAATCCCTAAGGTGGCTGAAAAACCTCACTGAAATTTCGAATCAAGGGCTGTACTGAAGGAGGAATGCCCCCATCCTCCTCTAATCTGATCCCCTCTAGCCTCATTAGCTCCACCAAGAAACCTTCCCTCACCTGTATGTTTATCATCATGTTTTTAAGTGACACCATGGCTTTGGAGAGCCCTACATCTCCCTTGATCACTACACTCCTCCCCTCCACCACCAACTCCATCGTTAATGCTCCCTAGTTGACCTTGATAACTTCATCCCCAAGATGACATCAATACTCCCTACCTCCAATGGGAGAAAATCCTCCCTCACCTAAATCCCCTATATGGTCAACACTACTCCCCTACAGATTCTCTAGCCCGTCTCCACCTTCCCTGTACCCATCATCACTCCATAGTATCATGTCTCCACCAATGTCACCCTGAATTGGTCCACGACTTGATTGAAGATGAAATTATGGGTAGTCCCACTATCAATCAACACCACTACCTCCCTGTCTGCTATTCCATATTCACTTTCATGGTATGACTCGGAATGAATCCTACCACTGAGTTGAGGGAGTCATCTACCACATCTAGGTATAGCTTATCCTCCTCCTCTACCGCTGTGTCACTCTCACCTCCCTTCTCAATTTCGTCGTCATCACAGGCGGTGAGAACCTGAAGAGTTCAGTCCATACACCTGTGCCCTAAAGTATACTTCTCATCACATCAGAAGCATAATCCCTTCGCATTCTTCTCCTGCATCTCCCTCTCCATCAGCCTTTTGAAGTTTCCCCTACTTCTCCTCCTACCGGCTTCTTCCTTGGTGTCTCACGAAGGTTGCTCGGTGTCGTCCCCTTGGGTGCTAAGAGAGTGGTTGTCATCCAGTATGAGCAACCTTAATTGTTGCCTCTGGCTCCCCTCTCTTGATACTTCTGATCCTCAACCAGCTAGGCTAACTCCATAGCCTCTCCCAAATCACGAGGTTTCATGACTCTCACAATTGCCCGGATTTTTGATTTGAGCCCCTTCATGAAATTCTTCTCTAAAACAGTCTCAGACAGTCGACTCGTCAGACACTCAAATCTCTCGCAGTATTCTTCCGCCGAGCCTTCCTGTACTAGGGCAAAGAAATGCTCATAGACGTCCCCTCCCCTTTCTGTTCGGAAACGTTCCGGTAAGCACTCTTTGAACTCCCTCCAACTCCGTATGGTCCTCCTCATGTCTCTCCACTGGTACTAAGTCAAAGCATTTCCTTTCAAACATAGGCTAACTATCGTCAATTTCTCCTCCTCCGTCAACCCATTGATAGCGAAGTATCTCTCTACCTTGTAGATCCACCCATGTGCATCATTCCCTTAAAAAATGAGAATTTTATGTTTCCTGGCCTTCTGATACCCTCCATTTCCCCTAATTCCCCCATAGTTTCCCTTTCCCCAGGTGTCCCGATTTTCCTTTCCACGTTCATACACAAACCCTTCTTCAAATCCTCCTCTCCTTCCTTCAAAATCAGCCCCACGCCGGCCATAATTTCCATCCCTTCTTCCCCAATCAACACCCCCTTGGCTCATACCACATATATCCATGCCTCTCCCCATACCTACCACCTCTCTTCTTCCTCTGGAAGGCCTTCCTCTGGAAAGGCTCCAAAAGGGCCTTCTCCCCTTTCCCTCTAAGATCTCTACATCATTTTCATCACTACGAATTTCAGAATTCATATTTCTCTCTACCGGCCCTCTTGCTTCAGATGCAGCTGTTTGGTTTTGATGATCCTATATTTTCTTCACCATCTCCTGAAGATTCGAGAATTTGCCTTTCATGGAGGAAATTCTCTCATCCACCATCTTTTTCATTTGGCACATCTTCCCCTCAAGCCGTTCTTCCAAAGCATTCACCTTCTTGGCCGCCATTGATACCCAAAATTTTGTTAGACTCAAAATTCTGGATCTCGACCCCAAAAATAGCAAAAACCCACATTTTTTAACAAAAACCTGCTGCAAGAATTTATCGAAACAACCATCAAACAACTCGAAAAACTGCTCTAATACCAATTTGATAGGAAACCCTTGTAGAACTCAAGAGAATACTACCAAGGATGCGAATTCAGCGACTTTCCCCCACACAATTTCACGCAAATCACAAATAACAACAAAAATCACGTAGTAGTGGAGAAGAAAACGACAATATACAAGTGAACCTCTATTCAAGAGGAGGATCAATCTCTCAAAACCCTCTAGACGCCGCTAGAGCTCAAGAGCGCCAAAAGCACGTAGAAATCAGCCACCAAAAAGATGCCCTAACCCTAATACAAACT